TTCCCTTGAGGGCACTGGTCAAGGTGAAAGAAATGCAGTCAAGACTGTCTTAAATATCCTGGCATGACCAATACAGCTTAGGCAACAAGATCTTTTTTTCTCCTGCAGAGAGGAAAGCCGACCTGCCGTAGGGCGCCGACTACAAGGGCATTGCTGTGGTCGACCTGTTGCTGTTCTTAGGGTCCTGACATGGTGCTTCCATCAGAATTCCAGGATTATTCAAAGGTTAAGAGTATATATATTCCTTTCCAATAAAAAAACCACATTCTTATCAACAACAGAAAGGAACTAATTGTGTGTTGTGTGCAGCTAAATTATCTAGGTTTCTGGCATGGCATGTTGAGGAATCCTGATACTGAGGGTTTCCTGAAGAAGCCTCCTAACATAGTCATAGAATATCTCATATGCATTGGGAATAAGGGGCTTTCTCTTCATTTGGAAAAGGTTCATTTAGCTGTAACAGCTGTTTTTATACTTACACTCTGAGGGATTTTCAGCTTTGTACACTCATCTGCAATAAGCTGTCTTAGAGGTTTTCGTGTGTTTGTCCACTAATTATGGATATAATCTTACAGTGGACTCTGTAGCTGATTTAATAATGTTAACTGGGTGTCCTTTGCAGCTAATGATCCTTCTTTACCTTTCCAACCAAACAGCATTCCTAGGTGCTTGACAAATGCAGCAATATGGTTATTAGGATTGATCTGTCCTACACTAGATTTTTCTAGAATGAGATTTTGATTTTGAGATGTGTAATTTATGCCTGTGATGACCGCAAATTTTGACCAATTCAAGATGGATTATGTTTCATCATAATAACTTTCCTGTATTTATTTTTTCTCCCAAGTCATGGAATTCAGCAGCAGAGGAAAACCGGATGTTAATCGTGTCTTGTCTCTTTATATGGATGGGACATGACCCTGTCAGAAGACTTCCTGGCTCTCCATCTCTACTGCAGTCATACTCGTGACTGTATAATGACCTGACATCATATAGCAAAGGCGAAGCTAGAAAATGTTTTTCTACAAAGGCACAAGCATCTCTGAGCCTCTCTAAAGTCTCTGGAAAATTTTGCTTTGCTAAAGTCTCCAGGAAATTGCCTATCAGATAGAAAGGATAACACTCAAGGAAACAGATACATTCATTATGAGAGCAGTTCCTGGCATCACTGACAGTGTGAATGTGTATGTAAGTGATTGCTCTAGGGAGAGAGGAATGTTGTTTATCAGAAACTGAAGATTTTTCAACACATGCTCTTGATACGTGCATTCATTCACCTGCTCATTTTCCAGATGAGAGTTCTTGTGGCACTTGGACTATATTCTGACCAAACAAGGTGTGATGGTTTGATGTAAAGGGGTTCTGGTGGCAGGAGAGGGGATTTGCTCCCTGCGACTTCGCTGGTTTTTGGAACTGGGTCAAACCCAGTTCTGGCCACCAGATCGGACACCCATCCTCCTCAGGGTTCAGCCAATTGGCGCCTCTGCAAATTGCCCTATTTAAGTTGGGACAAGGGAACTGGAAAAGGTGCTTTGCCCAGGATCGAGGAGAGAAGGGAGGAGGGCACTGCCCCCGCTCCCTGGCTCCCGGCCAGGTGGCTGCCCGCGCCAGGCCAGCGCCGCCCACTGAGGATGGCGGTGGCGGGGCCGCTTTGGGGACACCGGGGGGCGCCCC